TGTGAAGTTTATGGCAAGTTTTTCCTTATAAAACTGTATCCTGATGTGTGTTTGTTTTTCAATATCATTAGCATCGCAAGATTTGTTTAGTTTACACGTCCGTGATGCACACCTGCCTTCAGAGTCAAGAACCAATCAAATATCGTGAAGACAAGTGACCTGAGAGCACGATTCGCAACGCTGCAATCGCTATCGCATCCCGTGTGTCGGGATTCACCCTGGCTGAGATGACAGCCGTTAATCGCTGTAGTTTGTCGCTGCCCGTGTGTCGAGCCCTTTATACTGTAAAAATAATTTTCATATGCTATGGCAGCTGGGAGATAAAGCGCCTCGAAAACAAATCCTTACATTTGAAAAGGAAACTAGAAGGATATCTGAAGACATACCAGTTAGAAACTGCAAATTTTAAAAGATTTAATGGTGTTTTAGTTATTAGGACAGTTAGAGTGTGCCTTCAAGAACTAATTTCTACGCAAAAAAAAACAAAAAAAACAATGTATTTTGCGGTAAAGCCTRCATCACAAATGTTTATAACTCAGCCGACGTTAGAAAGAGCTCAAATTTGGTGTGGAAGTAACAGAGTATAATCTCCAAAACAAACTGAGCAYGACTCCAGTGCCGTCGTTTCTAAACACATCCTCTTAGTAAAAGCGCTTTAAAAGGCGCAGGTGCAGGTGAATGCTAGGCTTAATTAGGTCCAAATGTATTCAATTTTCTTTACTTCGTTTTTTGTTTTGTTTTTGTTTTTGGCCAAAGTGCAAAAAACACTTCAGTAAGAGCATCACACGCTTGCTCAGCCCACCTCTTCTGCATTCCTTGTGTTCAGTTTCAACACTTTTGCTTGCATTTCTTGCATTCTTCCCCTCTAAGGTCACAACGTTTGCCGCAGCGATCGCTGCGCAGAGGCGTAAACTGAGTAGGCCGACAACAGAAAGAGCAGAGCACATAATCCCAGGTCATCTTTTCATCACAAGCATTCGATTAAACGTAAATGTCAGGAGCTAACTGGATCAAAAGCAGCATTGTGTTAGGATGATTTGATTTAAAGGTTAAGAAGAAGAACAACAATTATAATGATTAGATTTCCGAGCATTTTTTCAATGGAAATATTTGTGTAATTGAAGCCTTGTGATTTATTCTTTTAATCTAATGGTGGGGGGGGACAAAAGAAATGCTATAAATCACACATTGCCATAGATAGATCACATACAGTGAAGAATTAATCCACTATGAAGAAGGTTATTGCTCTTAAGTTTCAGTGACACAGTAAATGTCCTTCAGCTTTCAYTCTGAAAGTTTTACAGCTTTGTAATAAAGCATGAATACTTGGCACAGATTGCTACTTTTAAACAACACGAGYGTCACTGTGTGTGCGCGCATCTTGAGAACATGTGATCATAAATTTATTTCTCTTATCAAAAAGCATGGCTCCTTCCTAAATTACATCCTGTCTTCCATTCTTGTCTCCCTCCCGCAGTAAGGAATGAATCATGTCTGTGCTTCTCAGCTCCTGCTGTCAAAAAAGTACACATTTTTGGTACCGCAGCGAACCTGTCAAGGTGAGTTTTGATGCCGTAAATCTGGTCAGTTTATTAATACTTGCACAGGCAGACAAAGCATACAGCGGGTAAAATAAATATTGAACACGTCACCATTTTTCTCAGTAAATATATTACTAGAGGTGCTAATGACATGAAATTTTCACCAGATGTTGGTAACAACCCAAGTGATCCATACATACAATAAACAAACAGACGGAGAGAGTGTGATATAACATTTCAAACATTTAGACAAGTCTTCACAAACCCTGCCCCAGAACCTCTGAACAGTATTAGAATTTCTAAATCTTAAATCCCCCAAATTGCTATCTAAAATCTACAAAAAATTGTCTGGCATAGATGACTCAATATCGCTCCCTATGGTAAAATGGGAGACAGACTTATCAGTTAAACTTTAACAAAACACCTGGTCTCAAATATGCTTAAGAA